GAATTACAAGCTATTTTCTGAAGAGCAAAGCTATTATATTTTTAAGCAAGTAAAAAATAATTCTTTATAAAATAAAGTTAGTGTCTAAGAATACTTTTATTACTTGTCTACTAGTCTTGCAATGTTATTATCTTGCTGATTCAATTTACGGACTTCAGTGTTGAAGCCTATAAGAATGTTCACCTATCACAGATGATTCAAGATAGTTAATCTTGTTAAATTACAAGCAATGTTTATACTGCTTTCATCTGAAATTCTTACCACTTGATACTCTACAACTCAAATACCAAATATACCAAGAAGACTTCTTAGTCACAGATTAGTAATGTTTCTACCACAAAGGCTCCCCTCCTTTTAAAATTCCCTGCTCCTCTGGTGGTATTCAAATACTAAAATACTTTATCTATTAAGATAAATAAATGCCCAATCCTTATTAACCAACAACATAATAAAAAAAAACAATAACTTATATCAGGTTTCCTGAATATTGACTGAATATAGCCTTTGACTCTTAACAAGCGGAATCCCAGAGGGTTAGGATCATTTTGCTCATTTTATAAGCAAGCACATGGAGGCCTAGGGAGTTTAAATAGTAAACTTCTTCTAAAGAAAAAAAAACAACATAAGATTCAAAAATTCAAATTGTAATAGGTAGATAATGACAGGTACTTTCATTCAGTTTTGTTTGGCTTTTTTGAGTGTGATTAGAAATAGAAACAATAAAATGTAATTTAGAGGAACATATGTCACTTAAAAACTGATCATTTTTAGATATAAATAATTTGGTAGATGTAAGTGGATGGAGGTAAGTTAATATTATCCCTATATTATTTATTATCCTTATATTATTTATAGTTTTTCATGTGCCCTAGAGTCTGAAGATTACAGTCTACAAGACAATCTCCCTTAGAGAAAGCAGCTAAATAAGAAGCAAAATGATACTGTTTACATCAAGTGCCAAACTCTATTTCTGTCAATCATGTCTTCATATTACCCATTACTTCCTGACCTGGCAAAAAGTCAGTCTGTAGACTATCCATTTATACCTACTCTGATGACATCAAGAGATATGCCCCAATAGCCCTGCCAATACACACAAAAATGTAATACATCACAGCATCCAAATTTTTAATAGCTAGCCTAAAATTATTTTTAAGAAGTGGCCTAGTCTAAGACACCATTTTTCAAATTGAGTGTTACAACCCGTTATAGGGTCATAAAACCAAATTAGTGAATCATAACCACATTTAAAAAAATAAAACAGAAAAGTATGAAAAACAATATATTGCAATATATTGCAAGTAGTAAGGGTAAGTATCTTTTCACGAAAAATATTTAAATTATTTAAATTTATTGCATACTCACAAATATAAATGCACATAAACATACATAAAACACATTTGAATATATGTACTGAATCATAACATGGATGTATTTTATTTTACCTCAAAATATAAAAATTATATAGTGCTAAAAATAAACATTCTTTGTAAACCAAGAGGCATTATCTATAATTTGCGATATAAATCATCCATTTAGAAGTAGGATCAGAGATCCTTCCCAAAAAACAGCACAGTAAAAGAAAAATGCTAATCCAGGAGTGTTCAACCAGTGAGCCACATCCCCTTCCCTTTTTGTATTTGGAGACAGGGTCTCACTGAGTTGTTTGGGGCCCAGCTAAGTTATGGAGGCTGGCTTTGAACTTGTGATCTTCCTGCCTTAGCCTCCCCAGCCTCTGGGATTACAGGCCCTTGTGTCACCAAGCCTCCAATAGCCTTTTCTTAATTTAAACACTCTTTCCAATGCAAATACCTATTGTTTTAGTCATTTCTTCTTCTGCCTATCATTCCTGCCCTCATTCTCTAAGGCTGGTTCCTCCTTATCCTTTTACCTCCTAATTGTGGAAATTATTTGTCCTTGGAACATTGCAATTCCTTCTGCATATTTTTCCTTGTAGAAAACCTATCTATTTGCAAATAATATTTCTATTTTGTCTTCTATTTTGCTTCCCTAGGTATTTGGAATGTAGCAAAACAGACATGCATACATTCCACAGCTTTTCATGGCTCTCTTTGCACTAGTTGTTCCCTTTGACTAGGAAGAAGCCTAGCCGTAAATGAAAAATAATTATGAGGATACAGAGTGAAAAAATTTGCTTGTTTACTTTTGTTTAAAGGGAGTGACTTGCTAAGAAGACCAAATCAGTAAAAAGAGGAGTTTAAATAGATTTATATTGAATCATTCTCAGAGGAAATCATTACTAGAGCAAAGTCTTAGAGTTGTAATTCAGTCAGTAGATATAAAGATCAGCTATAAAATAAAGAGGGACAGCTATTCTACAAAGATTAGAGAAAATTACATAAGGATGAGAATGTTTATAGGTACTTGGGGGAAAGGTGGTATACATATTCATGATATTATCCATCAATAGAAGTTGATGTCCTTCATTTATATTTGCAATGTGGGGGGTATAATGAGCATGATGAAGAAGATAGTGGAGTTAAAGAATTAAGAAGACCATTTATGTACAATGTGTCAAAATGCATTCTATAGTCATGTATAACTAATTAGAACAAATTTTTTAAAAAATTAAAAAACAACAACAACAACTAAGGAGAGAACCTGAGGTATAGCTCAGGTAGAGTGCTTGCCTGCCATGTTCAAGGCCCTGGAATCACTCTTAGCACCACCAAAAATAATGACGATAATAATAACAATGATGACAATTCAGGAGAATGGGTTAAGGTTTATAAAAACACATGGAAAAGAATACTAAGTAGGATTCACAGGCAGTTTTGAGGACACAGTTAAGGGTGCAACAATGAATTTATAGTGGTTCCAATTTGTTCTCCTGTTTTCCTAAGCAGTTCTAGAAGTAGGCATGAAAAAGGCAAAGGTTATAATGGTCTAGTTTTGCTAGGCATATGCAATATAAAGCAATGAGGGTAAAAGGATTAAAAACACAAGGGACAAAATGGCTAAAATGATTGACGAGAAGGAATTAATTCTGGGAGAGGCATAATTGACTAGAAAAAAATGAAGGAGTTAAAGAAGTTGAGTTCTATGAGACTGAAAAACAGATGTTAAAGGAACAGGAGGATTTAATATTTTAAAGCAGAGCAATTCTGGGCAATGGGTGTGGCTATGGGAGTATATAGCCAAAGTAGAGTGGAACTAAATATGGATTGGAAGTCAAGAGTCTGAAGTTTTCAATGAGCAACCAAAAAAATCAACAGATGTAAATGTAGGAACAGCTCAGAGTAGAAAGCTCTATAAAATAATGAATGCTTAGAAGATCCATTTTTGTACAAATATGCAGAAATACTGATTTAGAACAACAATGGTAGCTAAAAGAATGCTGGACTTAGCTTTTTGTGTTTTGGCAGGTTCTTGTTACTGCCATTTCATAATCTCTCTCCATGTCCCCTCTCCCACTATGTCATAAAAGAATAATCAGCCTGCTTTGAAAGGGCTGCCAAGAAAGGACACCTGAGTAAGATGCTTCCAGAAGTTGTAGACAAGCTAGGGAAAAAAAAAAAAAAATCATCCTCTGAAAAAGAAACTAGTAAAGGCATGAAACTATTCATCCTTTGACTAATCCATACTAGTATTTGGTTTATGATTATACGTGTTAAGATTATGGTATTTCCAAAGTTTTTGCCAAGAGATGAGGGTATATTCTCAATAATCATGGCTGATATAAAATTTAAATCTCTTCTAATTTAATAATATATTAAATAGCATTGATATAATTTGCATATTAAATACCAAAAAAGCAACTTTATAGCTTGATATCATAAAATATAGAGCAAAATTTATTTATCCATTGCTATGATTTGAATATAGCAAAGCAGGCTGAAGATTAATGTCCCCTCCAAAACTCATGTTGAAGATTAATCCCTACTGTGTGGGGGGAGAACTTAATCCAACTATGGTATTTAGAGGTGGGTCCTTCATTAAGTGGTTAGGAATAGACGAAGTCTTCAGTAGAGCCCTTGTGATTGAATACTAGTGACTTTAAAAGAAGGAGAAAGACTAGAAGACACATACACGTGCATGTTCCCCATTTCTTGCCATGGATTATTCTGCATTGCTGTGAAACAATGCCAGCAAAGCCATCAACAGTCATGGCTCCTTAACCTTGGATCTCTAGAATCATTAGCTAAAATAAACTCTTTTCTTGAAAAATTAGTCATGGTATCACCGTTCTTAGCAATAGAAAACAGACTAAGAATTCATTACTGCTTAAAGCATGGAGATATTATACCCAATAGGTATTCTAGTTATTAGGGTATAAACTCAGCAATATAGGGATTACATGTAAATTTTTTCCCAGAGTCTGGATGAAATGGCCCTATGAATCTAACTCACTTTTTTTTCTGATTCTGAACTAATGAAACCATCTGATCATCACCTAGGTTTCACAGGAATTATGATGTTTAAGGCAATACTCTCTAGAGTTTTAAAAATTTTTCATCATAAAGATATTGTTTTACTAATCCATATTATGTACCTTGCAATATACATACAAGTGAAATTTTAAAGGGTCAGACATAAGTACGTAGAAGTTCTAACATTTTCTTCCAACATTCCAATGGCATCTTGTAGACAGCACTCTGGAGACCAGTGCTCTAGAGAGATAGGGATGAGTGTTCTAGGCAATGGAAAAGGCAAAAAACTGACATAAGTGATAATCTAGAACTGTGCTAACTCAGCTCTGTGTAATATGATAAAATCATTCAGCACTGTGTAAAACGATAAGATGATTTTCAAAGGTCCTGAAATCTATACAACTACAAGAGAATCTAGGCAATGGACAAATAAAACTTTAACACTGAGGAACCAGATGAGTCCTGTTCCAGCTAAACAAAATATTCCTTTATTGCAATACAACAAAGAAAGCAAGTCTCAACCAAACAATATAGATATGGAAGTCTAAAAAGTGCTTATAGAATCTCTCCCCTCCCTAGCAACAGAAATTATCTTTTGTAACTACTCACCTGAATAAAATGTGTTGATTTTGGCAAGTTCTTTTTCACAGGTTTGGAAAAATTTTTCTTCAAACTTGGCAAAATACCTCTTTACTGTGTCCTCATCTGTAACTGAAAGGCAAGAAAAACTACTGAATATAATGTCAGAAGGCCAACTTGGAAAACTAGAAAAATAAAAATTTACATCCTAACTTTCTTAGTCTTTAAAATGGCGACTATATATGTATTATCAGAGAAAATGAATTGTAAATTATATTAAGAAGAGAATAATCAAATGTCTTTTCACAGGAATACAACCCTTAAGTTGAATGAGACTAAATCTCTACTACAATAAAATTTTTAATGTTGAAGAAAAGTATTCTAAGATGTCAGAAGAGGAAGAAACGTCTATAGAAAGAGATAATCTGAGTCTGAGTAGGATTCATTCAGCAAGAAAGTAAATTAATTATTTCAGGGAAGAAAAAATATAACAGCAAAGCATGAAGACATAAATGCATGGTATGTTTCTGGAAAAAATTGATTTTGTTCTATGTTAAATTGCTACCTAGTCTTTGTACCTCAGCTTCATGAAACACAGAAAAAAAGTGTAGACTACTCAGTGTAAATTAGATGCTCCAAAGTATCAGGAGCTTGATAAGTAACATAAAGGAGTTGAGCAAGTAGATATGGCAAGTGTAGTGATAAATGGTAACTGACACCTTCAGGATAAGGAGTGGTATGGAGTCTGGCAAACTAGAAAGTACACGTCTGTCTAATTGCTGCCATGTGGTGATATGGGGCCCACTTTGTCAGATCTTCCAATTTTTTAGGAGACACTATTAGTTCAGATATTTTTAAAACACTGTGTGGGTCAATCAATATGTTTCTGCAGCACTGATCCAATTTGTGTTGTCTTACTGAATACTGTTATGGTCTAGATCTTGAATGCCATCCCCTCACCCCCTGCCAAATAATTCATGTGTTGAAGGCTTGGTCCCTAGCTGATGGCGTTATTGGGAAGTGATGGAAGCTTTAGGAGGTGGTGCCTACTTGGAGGAAGTAGACTATTGAGAGGGTGGTCCTTAAAGGGTATATTGGGTCCCCAGCCACTTTTTTTTCTCTCTCTGCTTCCTGGCCACTATGAGGTATACAACTTTGCTCCACCATGCACTCCCCACTATGATGTTTTGCCTTGCCACTGACCCACAAACAATGGAGCTAAGTGACCATGGACTGAAACCTCAAAAACTGTAAGCCCAAATAAATCTTTCTTCCTTTAAATTGATTTTCTTGGGTATTATGGCATATTAATGGAAACCTGACTAAAACAAATATCAATCTACTAAATCCCAAGTACAAAATACATGTAGCTTCAGGATTCCTAAGAACAAAAGGGTATATTTCTTCCCCCAGTGAGATTCAAATAGACTCTCCAGATGGTAATCATAATATAGAACTACCTTATTTCTGGATCTCTTGGAGTACTCTAAGCTTGAAATATGTAGAAAACAGGTTCCTTTCTCTTCCCCTCGTCCCCCAAATCTTAATGTAATCCCAGAACTCTTAAATAATGACCTGAGAACAAGGGAAATGGTATTTCCCTAAATAACATGCGATATACACATACATACAAATTCATAGTACTACAGATATTTTAAAGAAAAACAAAAGCTTTAAATAAATTCTAAAAACATATCAAATATATTTGTTAAAAAATTAACATTGTGTAAAATTTTTATGTATACATGTCAACTTCTCTAGACATGGAGAGCTTTAGATCTGAGCACATAAAGCAGGATATTCTATTGATTTTACAGGGAAAAGGGGGGGATGGCCACTTTTATGTTTTTCATGAAACTTAATAATTTGGATATAATAATGAAATCAATTAGCTGCTGAAGGCCACTGAGAATTACTTTCTTAAAGCATAAAACAGGCCCCAGCTTTCTAAAACAGCTGACCTTGAGTTAAGGAAGCTCCATGGTAACAGATGTGGCACATATTATAACAGCATCTAGCTATAGCTGATTTAAAACAAGAAGAGTTACGATTATTTTACTTAATTACCTCCTTTTTCATTTTAATTTTGTTTCCTATTGTTAAGACAATTCAAAATCAAAAACATGGGCTTGTTCAAAATAATATATTTTGCTTTCCTATTAACAGGCAACTTTCATTAATATAAAGTGACTAAATTAAGTTGTTCAGCAAAATGATTTAAATATAGTTTCTGTTCTTGAAATAATTTTAATATAAGTCATTTATATAGAGGCTGCATATTCAGCAACATATACTATATAAAATGCTACTAAGAACTTAGAAATAAAACATGTAAAACAAAACATGTATTAAAGTGGGACCATTCTACCCATGAATCAGTTTCCTACAATTTCATTTCCTCACTTTAGAGATTTTTTTTATCTAAAATGCCAACAGTCTGTTATATAGTTTCCTAGTTCATATACAACTTAATAGCCACAAATTAGACGATGGTATTGTAATGTTAAAATAACCCAAAGAAATAAAAGCTGTGAGAAAAGAGGAAGAAAATCACAAATAAAAACAGCAAGGATTGTATAACTAATTACTACAAATTTAAAAGACGAAAACCAGTAAGGATAGCTGTGCAAAATAAATTAAATGAATAATAGTGTTCTTTATCCTCTCAGATTTCAAAAGACCTAGTCAACTACTAAAACCGAAAGTATACTATTGGTAAAGGAATTAGCAAAATACAACAGAAAAAAATAAAGTCCAGAAATAGATCTGCATACATATGGAAATTTAGATTAAGATAAAGGGGCTTCAAGTCAGTGAGAAAGGAATGGATTTTAAACGGAGAGGTTATTTTTAACACTACACAAAATACAAAAACCATGAAAGGAATGACTCATACTTTCACAAAATAAAAAGTCTTCATTCCACAACATACTATAAGCAAAATTAAAAGAGACAGGGAAAACATAATCTGCAACTTTTAAAATAAAGGATTCATATACAAAATATATTTTAAAAATTCTTACAAATCAGTATTAAAAAAGACATTCAAGTTCATAAGAAAAATGGGCAAATTACAGCAATTCATAGAAAAAGAAATAAAAGGCCAACAATGAAAGGAGGCTCAACATTCAAATGTCATACAGATGCAACTTTTAAAAAATGAAATACAATTTTTCAACCTCAGACTAGAAACACTTCAAAACAGTGTTATCATTTTGGCAAAGATGAGGGTAAATGAACATTCTCACTCCCTGTCAACAGATATATGAATTTGTAAAGTCCTTTATGAAGGCAATTTGGCAATAGCTATCAAAATTTTCAGTATGTTCAATCCCAGATGTAGGAAACATATTCTAAAGGAATTTTTGCACAAACAAATACAAGGATGTTCATAGGCCATTATTTTTTTTCAAGTGATAAAACAAACTGTTGAGAGCCACAGCCTGAGGGGCCCCAGCAAACTTCCAGCTGCCAGCAAACTTCCAGCTGCCGGCTGATGATTGGCTCACAGGAGCCCCAGCAACATCTAGCTGATTGGCTCCTCGGCCCCAGCAACATCTAGCTGATTGGCTCCTCTGCAGTGATGCTCATTGGACTGTTTCCCTGCCCTTTCAGACCACGGAGCTGCTCATTGGGGGACTTTTTTGGCTCCGCCCACGTGACCCAGCCAATCGGCCTCAAGAGCAGGAGGATTGTGGGAGGTGGGGAGAAGCTTGTGTGGGAGAGAGAGGCTTGTGGAAAGCCGGTGGTGGCAGTTGAGGCTCTGAGGGTTTTTCCTGAGAGACTATTTTGTTTGTCGTGAGTGGTTCTAAAAATAAAGTTAGTTTCTTTTGACAAGTGGCTCCTGATTGTGCCCAGCCAGACTGCGGCATTTGGTGGCTCGCACGGGGAGCGACTGAGGGTAAGTGAAACTGCTCGCCCCTGAGGGCAGGGCGAGAGGATGGGTAGCCATTTTAAGATTCTTCTTTTGTTATTTTGTTTCACTTTTGTTTTAAGTTGCCTGTCCCTGGAGATGAGTGAGACGGAAGAAAAACCGCTCACATCTGAGGAAAAACTATTTACGTCTGAGGAACAGATAGGGAGAAAGGACGGATGCCCATGTCAGGAGGATAGAAAGGCTATAATGACTTTTTGTTGTTCCCTTTTTATTTCATTCTGTCTCGGTTTTGTTTGGCGTCATCTTGTTGGGTTGTATTATAGTAGAAATACGGGATCAGAAATTAGTAAAAAACAAACTGAAAGAGTGTTAAGTAAATTGTTAGAGGAAGGAGGCATCCCAGTAAAATCAAGAGCAGTCAGGGTATACGTTGATACAATACAAAAATGTAGCCCATGGCTTTTTAAGGAGGAGTTGTTAAATATATCACAATGGAACCATCATGGTGAAGATTTAAAAAGAATAGAAAAGAAAAGCCCAGGGACTCTGCCAGTTGGCACATTGCCATTGTGGACGTTCATATCTTGTTTGCTTAGTCCAAAGCCTTCAGTTCAGACAATGGTAGAGGAAGGAGAAGACATAATGATTCAAGTAAAAGAGAAGGTCTCTCAAGTTAGTCAGACAGAGAAAGAAAGTGTAAAACAGAAAAAGCCATCAGGGGGAAAGGTACAACAGGAGACTGCTACTAACACCTTTCTATCACCAGAGGGTGTAAGTGTCCAACCAACAGCACCACCTCTACAGGAGACTGCTACTAACACCTTTCTATCACCAGAGGGCGAAAGTGTCCAACCAACAGCGCCACCTCCATATGCTGGGAGGCCCCCAACCCCCACAGTTGATAGTTGGGATCCTGAGACAAGATCTCAAATATTAACATGCCCTGTATTTGAGGCAGGAGGGCAGCGATTTTACCAAGTTTTAAATTTCAAAACAGTGAAGCAGCTAAAAGAGGCTGTAACAACCTATGGTCCTCAAGCACCCTTCACTGTAAGCTTGGTCGAATCCATTAACAACTTGAACATGACGCCAGCAGATTGGGCTAATATGTGTAAAGCTGTGCTAAATGGAGGACAATACCTGTTATGGAAGGTTGCCAATGAGGAATTTTGCAAGGAGACGGCTAGGCGAAATGCAGCAGCTGGTTATCCTCAGAGAAATCTAGATATGTTGTTAGGAAAGGGACCTTATGAGGATCAGCAGCAACAAATTGCATATGATCCTGGCGTATACGCACAAATTGCTGCAGATGCAATTAAGGCATGGAAGAC